TGCATATGTGGACTATGAGAAATCCTTTGATTCCGTCGAAATTTGGGCAGTGCTGCAGTCCCTTAAGCGGTGCCAATTTGACTGTCGGTATATCGATGTGCTGAAGTGTTTGTACAGTAGGGCTACGATGGTTATACGACTAGAGAATCAGAGTACGAAACCTACCCGACTGCAGAGAGGTGTAAGACAGGGTGACATTATATCCCCGAAACTCTTAACTGCTGCATTGTAAGACGATTTCAAGTTGCTGGACTCGAAAGGATATGGTATTAACTTCAATGGCGAGTACATCGCTCACGTTCGATTTGCCGACGATATAGTCCTTATGGCAGAATCGCTGGAGGACCTAAGCACTATGCTCAATGACCTCAATAGTGTCTCCCAACGGATAGGTCTTAAGATGACCATGGACAAAACCAAGATCATGTTTAATATCCATATCACACCTACATGTGCCGGTAGTTGTTGGGAGCACTAAGCTCGAAGTTGTTGACGAGTATGTTTACCTGGGACAAATAAGCCAACTTCGACCGAGAAGTCAATCGACGGATTCAACTCGGCTCGGCAGCGTTCAGGAAATTACGACACATCTTCTTGTCGAAATTTCCGCGACATAGTTCGTTGCGGTGAACATTTTAGAGCATCTTATTTTTAAAATTGGCTCCTAATTAGCAACTAAAAAGCCCCTAATTTTGGGTTTGTCTAAATGCAAATTCCTGATTTTGCGTTGCTGGCGATACACAACTCAGCATTGCACGCAGTGCACGCACTACTGCTTGCGTGCAAATATAGGTAAAGGGTAGTAACTAACACGGTGGACTCCTTGGTTGAAAATTATTTCTGCGACCAAGAAATGTCTTTATCTCTTCTTTTTTTTATAGGATAAGTGTAACAAACGAGCACACAGTCCACCTGATGGTAAGTGGTTGCTGTAGCCCATAGACATCTACATCTATCCTCGATTACGAATCAAAATGCCGATGCGTTGTCACACCTGAGGACTATGATGGAATGCCTCGTTTCCAGTAAAAAGGGTCTCCGGTTACCATACGAAACACAGCTTAATGCTGCTATTTTACGCTGGTATTCTATGAGAGCGGTCGAGCCGAGCCATTCGCACTACAACTATACCATTAATATAACTGCAGCAAGGCTCTACCATTAAAAACCTTACTTCTTGCTCACAGCTCTGAACACACTGGCTAGCATTTTATAGTACACCATTCGGCATTGAAACGTCGACCGATGCTTCGTTTCTGGTTGTTAAATCCAAGATTCATCTCCTGTTATAAGTCTTAAACACGCCAAGAGTCTAGCTTGCTCCAAATTTGGTAGACAGAATACGGCATTCCACGCGAACCTGCTATTTATTATCAAACTAAAGTGACAAAAGAACTAACATAACAGTCTACCTGATGGTAGGTAGCTACTGCATTGGATGGACCTACCTGCAACCAACTTCAATATAAAGAAAGCCTCTGAAAACTAAGATGTAATTCCTCAGGCCTGTAATTGTATTGACTCTATATAGTATACGTACCAGCGATTTGCCCCGACTTCGCACGCGTTAATTCTGAACCTCGACAACAGCGCCACCTACCGGGTACAATTGTGAATCTAAACATTCTCGAACCTAAGTTAGTCACTATCACAATTTTACCTAATTCAGTCCAGGCGTTTAGAAGGACTTCAGTAACAAACACACGTACAGAAAAATTATATTATATACTAGCTGTTCCCCGCGACTTCGCTCGCGTGTTAGGGTTTTTATTTTTTTGTGTGGATCCCTAATTATGTTTCCAAAATAAAAGTAGCCTAAGTTACTTCTTATGACATCGGCTATCTGCCGGTGAAATTCCCATCAAAATCGGTCCAGCCGTTACGGAGATTAGCCGGAACAAATTAACAGACAGACAGACAAAAATTTTAAAAATTGTATTTTAGTTGCAAGTACCATATTTCATTTCATATGCATTTAGTAAAAAGCTATAATTTTGACATTGCAAACAGACACTTCAATTTTATTTATATGTATAGATTAAGATACCCTTTAAACGGGATCAAATAGCCGCCAAATAGCAGTGAATATGAAAGAAGGTGATGGTACTTATCCAGAAAAAGAGTCCCACCACCTAGTAAAATCTCGTGAATGTTTCCATTCGTGCTATAACCATAATATAACTGTAGCCTGGCTCTACCAAGTAGAAAACCACCACGTACCACGTAGGTATTACGGTGATTTGCTAATAATGTGGGTAATTAAAAAAAATCATTAGCTAACGACAGTACCTGAGGGTATAAATATGAAATTTCGTCTTGATAACTTCATTACTTCTTATGTAATCTTCGACGACGATGAGAATGGCTGACTCGACAGTGTGGAAAAAATCAAACACCGTAAAGAAATGGTGGCCGTTTACCAATACAGACAGTACAGAAGTGGTCAGGTCAATTAAAAAGAGGCAGGTAAAGCATCGAAGATGACCCCCGCCCGGGTGGGCCAATCACAGCGGCTACAGAAGAAAATGTGAAAATTATTGAAAAACTTGTATTAGAAGATGCACGAGTAAGAATTAAGATGTTAGCAAAAATAACTAACCTATTCTTTGGTACCATTCACACCATATTGCGTGACTATCTCAACCTCACAAAAGTCAGTGCAAGATGGGTGCTGCGAATGCTCACTGCGCTTCAAAAGCAGCCGCGGGTTGACTGTTGTAGGGAGTTTTTAGAGCTGTATGGTGAGATGGAACGTGGGTTCAACAAGTGACCCTGAGAGTAAACAGGAGTCTATGGAATGGCATAAAAAGGGATCAGACCCTCACAAGAAGTTCAACGTCACTCTATCGGCCGGTAAAATTTTGTCCACAGTGTTTTGGGATCCCAAAGGAATACTATTGATCGAGTACAAAAAAAAAGGTGAAACCATCAACGCAGTCAAATACTCAGCCACTTTAAGCCGTTTGAGAGAAGCATAAAATGAAAAGAGAAGAGGAAAGCTGACCAAGGGAGTGCTGCTTCTTCATGACAACGCACCGGTCCACACGTCGCGGCCCTTCAGGGCTACTGTACGAGACTACGGGTTTGAAGAAATTTATCACCCACCATATTGCCAAGATCTAGCCCCTAGTGACTATTTTTTTGCCCCAACTTAAAAAAAGACCTTCGGAAAAGCTACTTGCTAAGGATAATGAGATCAAGTCCGCTGTAAATGAGCATTTTTATCTAATATGTAATATCATTTTGAGCCAAGACAAAGAATGTTTTTTCAAGGGAAAATTAAAGCTTTTTTCACGAACAAGTAAATTGTTGATGTCACGGGAGACTATATTGAAAAATAAAATATATTTTATAATTTTAATCTTTTTTTTTTTACATACCCATACCGAAAATACATTGAACGCCCCTCGAAGGTTCCTATATGCTAAAGATATTATTGTCATTAACTGTCTACTGGTTTAAGCTGTCTTCAATATCTCCCAAAAACTTCACAATGTGACGCATCAGCATATTGAGGATAATTTAATGAACAAAGTATAAATCAGAAAAGGCTGTATAGTATAAGACCTTTGCCTGCCTTGTTCTGTAAAGTGATGAGAATAATTAATTGACTGATCGATTACCCCAAAATCGAGACATTTCATGCATCTTTTGCTAGGTCGTCACTCCATATAGTGGGGAGCTGCCCTACACTTTAATCTAACAATTTATAACTTCAAATGTATAGATAAATTGCTATAAATTTCCTAAAATTCAATTTAATTGAAAGTTTATTGGTATAGTCACTTGCCAGGCCAGGCAAGGCAACTATAGCTAAGATGGCCAAGTCAATCTATTTATTTAAAACATAAAAAGTTTTTAATATTGATATGATCACTACAAGATGTTGTTAGGCTAGCTAATTACGTAATAACTTGAGACAGAAGGACTATTAAGTAGGGACTGAATAAATTAACCAACTTAGTATTACATGGATCTCACAACTTTTTACGGTAGAAGGACTGAGTTGCAAGACTTGGATTTTCTTTACAAGTTATGTTTTTGATGGCATACCTAATGACCCAAGTTCAATATTCAGTCAACATTGTGTACAAACACAAAAATTGTTCGTTTTAGCATAGGGTTTTTGTTTGTTGATCTGGTTGTGGTCAAGCACAGGGAAACTCAAGTTAATGCTTTTGTGTTAGCGTATAAAACTTTTCTTTAGCAGTTCATTGCTTGTGACAATGTTCGGATTCTTAAATCGATTATTTGATTAATCGATTGCTTGAATCGCTTTGTACGACATTATTTTTGATTGACAATGACATTTGCATTTGACATTGACATATATTTTGATGGTACTTGATGTATATCAAATGTAAATAATTGCAATTATTTTAAAAATTTATTTGTGTACAAATACATCAAATTATTTAAATATTAAAAAAATATATCTTTTATGTTTATAGGTAGAGTGATCAAATATAATCAAGTCATTGTATTAAAGCTAACTGCGACAATTCTGGCTAGTATATGAATATTTAATTTTTCTTTAAAAAATTAGATGTACCAGCGTAATTGTTGTTTACACTGTGGTTTAAATTTAGTTCGTGCTTATCATAAAATCATATAGTCTAATCTCAAAAATAACATCACAGTCACATAATATATTATTTTCTATAATAGACAGGTAAATAAATGTTAACACACTCAACAAAAGTAAACTAACTAAACTAAAACACTCAACAGAACCTCATTCCTTGCTTAAAAATAATACATGATTTACTCCTTTGCTATGAATGGGGAAGTTTTTATAAAATATTTTAACGTACGAAATTAATTTTGTAATTTATGAATACCTACATAATGCAAAATAAATATTTTTATAGTCAATAATACTTTCAAATGTCTAAAATAATCCTTTCCTTCCACAGATTTTTAAAATAGCGACAAATTACTTAAGCAGAATAATTTAGTGGTAAAAAATTTGCTTGCAAAAATGCTATGAAGTTCTAAAAATGAACTTGAGATCAAAGAATGTGGTATCTTGTTTATTCTATCGACCCTGGTTAGGGGTACCCCTGGGTATATGGATTGCAGTTTCTGTAGTGTACTATTGGTGGCTGATATCTCGGATAAATGTTTTGGAAACCCAGAATGAAGTATTTAAGTCTCAATTAAAGCTATCTCAAAATGTTATGAGACAGGTAGCTGTTGTATCTGATACTACATATAATATTCCTGTGGTAAGTACACTTAATTTGTTTATTGTAATATCTCACAAGAAGAATTTATTAAAATAATAAATTAAGAATTTTAAAAACCCATGAAACAATAAGAGCTTATGATCTTCAAATGGCTGAACAGATTTTCTTGAAATACACTCAACAATTTTCTTGAAATACATAGAACACTCTTGATTAAAGACACCTTTCAAATGAAAAAAAAAACTCAATCAAAATTAGTTCATCCATACAGGAGCTAAGATGCCACAGACAGACACAGATATACAGCTACACAGATTAACACTACAAGCATATAACACCCGTCCGTTTTCGTCCAGGGCTTAAAAATAAAACATTTGAGGACACTGTCTTCTTCCATGATATTTTTTTGTCAATTGAAATGTCAAACAAATTTACAGTCCATGTGATGGTGTCTACAACTGCTCATGAACACCTGCAACAATCTTCAAACAAAGAAGGTTACAAATACAATGTCACTTTTGTGGACTAAAAGGGAGTGCCTCACAACCTGCAATAATATGGGTTCTCCTATATACCCTATATTCCTATACTCTCCAGACCAGAACACGGCAGTGCACACACTACTGCTTGGTGGCAGAAACAGGTACCACCTACTACTACTACCCAGACTACTGTATCAACATGACAACGGTAGAATATTTCCATGGCAATTATTTTTAACCCCCCAACAAAAAAAAGGGGTGTTATAGGTTTAACCTGTGTATCTGTGTGTCTGCCTGTGACATTGTCGCTCCCAAACAAATATTCTGATTTAGATTTAGTTGTTTAGTTTGTAAAGTGACTTGATCGAGAGTGTTCTTAGCTATGATTCAAGAAAATCTTTTCAGTCGTTTGTTTGAAGAGTCTTTTTGTTCTAGCGGTTTTGAAAATTTTTTATTTAAGTTATTAAGGTTTTTTTACCATTGAAGAATAATTATGAAAAAATGATGTTGGTTTCGTTTCTGTTTTGCAGATCCCAGATGCAGTTGGGACTATTTGTGAGACAATTCACATAGCCTTAGTGTGCATGGGAAAATGCACTCGCATAATCATGCCTATGCTAAAATCATTACTCCAGCATCGCCAGAATCCTATACATTTCCATTTTATTGTGGATTCAGCTTCTCAGCATACTACAACAAAATTGTTTGACACATGGGATTTGCCAGATGGTATGTGAATGTTGGATTCACTATTACTTTTAATATTTTAGTACCAAGTTAAGTAAGACAGTCTTATGCTATGAATTTTTGCTACACTGTCAGCATGCATAATATATTACGCTTAAATAGCAGAGCTCTCTGTCCAACATTAAGTCAGTCCTAGATATATATATAATATTTTCATTTAAAATTCAATTTTAATTATTTACCTTCATTAAAAAAAATATTGTCTTAGGCCTGATCTACTCTACTCTTTGGCTTGACCATAGGTTTGACTAAGTTTGTGGTGGTTAATGTCGAGGCCTGAGTCTTTAAATAATAATATACTTAAGTCTTGTGGCTTCATCAATCGTAAAAACTTATTGACTAGGTAATGTAAAATAAAAATCTTAAACTTTTAAAAAGTTTTATGACATTATGTTGTATATTAATACAGCATAGTAAATCTCTATAATGAATGAAGCTAAAGTGAAAACATAAAAATTAAACTCAATTTAATTCCTTATTGCTGTGTAGTGACATAGTGACGCGAGATAGAGTGACGACCTGGTAAGACATGCAGGAAGTCGATGGATGCAGGTGGCTCAGGACCGTGCTTTGTGGCATTCTTTGGGGGAGGCCTATGTTCAGTAGTGGACTTGTGAAGGGCTGTAATGATGATAATGATGATGTGTAGTGACATAGTAAGTGTACCCAATACCCCATACCCTTCTGGGGGTGGCAATAAAAGGAAATCAAATCAGGAGATCCTTTAGATTGATTCATAATAACAACTTAATAATAAAAAAAGAACTGTCAAGCCTGCAAAGCATGGCAAGTATGGAAAACACCCCTCTTCTCTCCCCTAACTACACTAACTATACATCAGCATGTGACTTGATGGGCTGTAATGAATGTAGATTAATAGTTATCGTTAATGAGTTAAAAATATTCCAAGTTGTATTGAGAAAAGATAGGACTAAATTGTCGGGCTTGACTTGGTTAAATGCTTAAATCTAGAAAGAGGCTAAGGTTTGAAGACAGACCTGCGGCCCAGTTGCTAGCATAATTACTGCTTTTTACTCAATGCATAGGAAAGTGTATACGGAACCTATAACAAAAGTACAATTTAAGAAAAAATTCTGTCTGTCTGTTTGTTCCGGCTAATCTCAGAAGTGGGTGGACCGATTTTGATGTGAGTTTCACTAGCGGATAGCTGATGTCATAAGGAGTAACATATGCTACTTTTATTTTAGAAAAAGAATTAGGGTTCCTCGCAAAAAAATTAAAACCCTGAATTACACACGGGCAAAGTCGCGGTGAACAGCTAGTTTTTTATAAAAACTTTATTTTCTTCAAATTCAAATAAACCATGTTTTTAGATAACCAACATTTACAGTTTATTAATTTGTTATTTCAGTAAAGTATACATGCTACAATGCACAAAACCATCTCTCCCAAGTGCGTTGGATTCCTAACAGCCATTACTCAGGTGTCTACGCCTTGGTAAAGCTGCTCTTCCCTGATATATTGCCCAGCACATTACCACAGGTTATTGTGCTAGATTCAGACCTAACATTTTTGTCTGATGTAGCTGATCTTTGGAATATGTTCAGGAATATGAGTGATGAGCAGGTAACTATCGTAAAGAAAAGTATATTTTTTTAATGTCATCGCTGTTTAATTTTATGTTACTTGTGGAATTATAAATTAATCAACTTAGTAAACCAGTCAAATCACATCAAATTTTAGGACTTATAAGCAGACAGTAACTGACATGAATACACATACTAACTAAAAATATTACCCTGTTTTTGGGCTCCACTACAGCACTTTCTAACTACTATTATAACCCTAGCAATTCATTGTTTATATCGACTTTTCTGACAACATCAAACGTGATGACTGACTGTACGAGGGTGACACTGGAAGTTCTTAGAAAATCAAAAACAGAACAAACTAGCAAGTTATTATTTTTATTATATCTTTTCAAAATAGTGTCCATTTACATTAATACATTGTTGCATCCGATGGAACTACTGAGAAAAGCACTTTGCCCACTTGTCCTTAGGGGTCTCTTCGACGGCATTTGGAAACGCAGCCACTGCTTCCTCGGCGGCCATAAAACGTTTTCTTCGAAGTTTTTCTTTTATTTTCGGAAATAAATAAAAATCGCAAGATGCTAGGTTGGAGCTAGGCGGGTGACGCAGTAATTCCACGTCTGACGTCGTCAAGTAGTCGATTGTTTGCTTGGCGGTGTCCGATGAGGCGTTGTAGTGGTGAAGGAGGATCCTACTGCAAGGTCGTTTCTCCCGAACTTTTTCCAAAACAAGTGGAAAATAATTAGTGTACCATTCTGCAGTAACTGATTTTCAATCCTCTAAAACAATTGTTGCGTAATGACCTGTCCTTCGGAAGAACGAGGCCATCACCTTTTTTCTCACGCTTCGACCTCTCTTCACTTTCGTTGTCAACTCCTTGGAATGAAACACCCAGACAGCAAACTGTCTCTTAGTTTCAGGATCATAACAATAAATCCAGCTTTCGTCACCCGTAAGTATATCGAACACAGCATTTGAATCACCTCCGTTAAATCTTTGAACAATTTCAATACACCAATCAACACAACGGAGTTTTGGGCCTCTGTCAAATTATGAGGTATCCACCGGGCACAAGCTTCCTGACTGCTAAATTTTCATGGAGGATTTTGTGCACTTGACTCATACCGATACCTAAGCTTGTCCGAATTTGCTGATAAGTCACTCTTTTGTCAGTCTCTATCATACGCCGCACAACACTGATGTTCAGTCGTCGCCGTAGAAGGACTCACGCAGATCATCGGTGAGATTAGTGCGACCACGTTTAAACTCATTAAACCAGTTGTAAACAGTAGCACGAGATGGGGCTTCATCGTGAAAGGCCAATCGAAGCCTATCACAACTTTCTTGTTGACTTAAATGACATCGAAATTCATAAATAATCATTGTACGAAAATTTTCACGCGTTAAATCCATGCAGACGTGACACAGACAATTTTCTATTTGCCACCAAATCGTAAACAAATGACAAATTAATAAAATACATACACAATAATATTGGCAAAGAGTTCTATTTTCAAAATTTGAACTTATTTTTTTATTATATCGTTTACAAGTGGCCAGTTCTAAAAACTTTCAGTGTCGCCCTCGTATGTCCTTCTTAGGCTGTGACCGCAAATTGGAAAAAATGTGCCACTGTAAGCCTAATATTGTAAGCCTTAGTTTATCAACATAAACTCCTTGACAGTATATACATTCCATGATAGTGATAGAATACCTGATAAAAAGCGTCTAGGGCTCATGAGACCTATGCCCAAATAACAGTAGAACTAAAATTAGTGCAAAACTAAAGATGATGAACGGGTGACGTAAGAGGCGAAAATGGGATATGCCAGAAAAATCTTATGGCCTCTCATTGGTATACATCTGGTAGAACCATTTTGATTATACCAGATTTTTTACTACTCAGACTGGTGATGGACAGCATCCTCAAAGGTGCGAGTCTGCGATTTGGTTTTGCGATTATAAACGCCTACCGAGAGTGACGGTTAAAGCTAATCCATGACAGAGGCCCACCTTACATCAGTATTGGACATTTACAGGCTGATAGAGAAGAAAAAGATCTAGTATTGGCTGTGTTCTTTCTGATCTAGCATTCGTATTTTCTGTTTGGTTTTGATTTAATTGTTTCTTCATGTCCCTAAAATTGCATCCAAGCCTTCTTTAAATTTTAATTGTATAAGTTACATTGGATTTACTTAGGTTAGAATCAGTTAGTGTCTCTGCATTCGTACATACATTTTTGATTTTATCATATGATATGACCAATGACAATAGAGGCTCATCTGCAGCTGTGAACTTGTGATAAAATTATGCAGTTAAAAATGCTTTCAAACTGTCATCTCAATTATTTATAAGTAATTCATATATGCTATAAAATATTGTACAATTTTTACAATTGTGAAAGTCATATTATGTATATATGGTAATCTAGAGCATCTGGACGCCATCTAGATGAGTGAAGTCGGCTTAGAAGCAGGCATGCCTGGGAGGCATAGGACTTCATTTTATAATTATTACTGATTAATCATGGGTTAGGTTAGCACCTTGAAAATAAATCTTAAGACCTTCCTATGTGGCAATATATAGAGGACATTTTATAATTTCCTCTATATATTGCCACAAATTAAATAAGAGGATATGGCGGCAAGACATCTCAATCTAAATAATATACCTAAACAGCCCGGCTAGACCACCGGGAGAGACAGGGAGCTTGGATTGATTACCTATGAGGAATTGACGAATTTTGATATTTCCCTGTTTTCTTCTCCAAAACTGTTTTTTTTTAAGAAGTATAGGATTAGGTACTATGTTTGTATGCTTTTCTATCATTTTTAAATTTATTAAATTTGTTACCTGGATGTCTGATAGTTAAAACGTCGCCGAGTACCGGAACAAACTTGTGTCTGAAGTCGAGTCTTTGCTGAACAAAGTCTCGGATTGGGGGCGACTAAATCTAGTCCAGTTCAATCCTCAGAAGACACAAGTTTGCGCGTTTACCGCTAAAAAGAACCACTTTGTCGTATCTCCTTAGTTTCAAGGCTCTTGCCTCAGCCAGTATCGGTATCCTCGGAGTCGACATATCGAGTGACGTGCAGTTTCGTGGTCACTTGGAAGAGAAGGCCAAATTGGCCTCTAAAAAGCTTGGCGTGCTCAGCAGAGCGGGACAGTATTTCATGCCGGCACACCGCCTGCAACTTTACAAGGCGCAGGTTCGGCCCCACATGGAATACTGTTCCCATCTCTGGGCAGGGGCTCCCCAGTGCCAGCTCCTTCCACTTGACCGCATCCAGCGCAGAGCGGCTCGAATCGTCGACGACCGAGCCCTTTCCGATCGGCTCGATTCATTGGCACTGCGAAGAGATGTTGCATCCCTTTGCATTTTCTTTCGCATCTACCATGGGGAGTGCTCTGAGAAATTGTTCGGATTAATCCCAGCCGCCAAATTTCACGAACGCACATCGCGGCAGAACTCCCGATACCATCCACACCATCTGGATGATTGGCGGTCCACCACTGTGCGATTTAGAAGATGTTTTCTTCCTCGCACGACTTCCTTGTGGAATCGATTACCATCAGCGATTTTTCCGGACCGATACGACTTAGGGACCTTCAAGAAAAGAGCGTACTCCTTTTTAAAAGGCCGGTAACGCATCTGCAATTCCCTCCCTGGTGTTGCAGTTGTTCATGGGCGGCGGTAGTCACTTACCATCAGGTGAGCCGCATGCTCGTTTGCCCCCTCTCCTATAAAAAAAAAGTTGCGGCATGACTAGGCAATGCCATTAATTTTTAAAGGTCCCTTATTTGTAAAATAATTAATTTATGAAAAAAGACAAAACGCGGTGTGGGGGCGCTGTCATCGCGCCACAAGCGAAATACATCGAAGTCTAAATCATGCTATCAAAGTTCCGAAGTAAAAGCAGTATATTATATAGAATAGTTTATTACCATTCTGAGCGTTGGCCGCTCCCCGGGCTAACCTCCGGAGCGTTTGCCGCTCCCCGGGCAAAGCACCTTGCCCGGCGGGAGATCTCCTTTTTTTCTTTTACTTGCCAAAGTGTTGACCACCCAACGTGATATGAACACGCGACGTACAGCCCTCTGAAACTATAACTTCAAACCTTCGTCATTATCCTCAAGTACCCCATTCATTCACTCCCGAGCAGATATTGTCTGCAGTCTTCACATCCTGCAAGCCATCTGGCTTTACAAAGGTTCATCGCAGCACTAATACTTCCTGTTCCTTCAAGCTACTCTCAGTGCTACAGTGTTCGGCACGGCTATGAGCCTTACTGCTCGCCTCTGTTGGCCGCTCCCCGGGCCGGTCACAAAGAGCGGTGGCCTGCTACAGTAGTAACATTGCAGTGGTAATTCTACATTTTATCGTAAAAGAAATAATTTCACTAGTGTCATTATCAAGGGAGAAAACAGATCAATATATTTGTATGGACTAAACGCCGCCCGAATAAGCTCTTAAGGTGTATCATCAATAATTAATGACCTATGTACAGATCCTTCATTTCAGTTAATCGGATTGGTAGAGAATGAAAGCAACTGGTACTACGACACCGCTAAACGATGGCCAGCGTTGGGAAGAGGATACAACACTGGTGTAATGTTACTAGATCTAACAAAAATTCGCTCTACCATTGACTGGACATCACTTTGGCATAACGCCGTAAATGAGAACATAGAGCGATTGAAGCAAACAACTCTCGCCGATCAAGATGTGATAAATGCGGTTATACAGAAGAATCCAAGATTTGTTTACAATATAAGCTGTCAATATAATGTACAGATGTCCACGAAGACTCTTGCCAAAGGTTGTTACGGTGAAGACAGAGACAATGTTAAGGTAAATTATACCGTATATTAACTTTAATAAAGTATTAATTTTAAGGATTATGAGATAGTTTTTGGCATATTGTGTGCTGCTGACTATTTGATTGAGTTCGCGCTCAATACTGTTCCAATAAATATAACTTACAAACACTCGTACACACTACATGACGACTACCGATCCACTAAAGAGACACGTACCAATAAAGACGATATCACCATCATCAAATACATTTCTCTATTAAATATGAGACTCTCAAATGGTAAGCATTTGTCAAAAGTCTGGCAACTTTGTCGCTGCTACCCGTTGCTAGTCTAGGTATTTTACAGGTTATATATACGAGTTAGCCACAAGCAAAACGCACCGAAGTCTAAATCACGCTACCAAAGTTCCGCAGTACTGCGGTATATACAGAATAGCCCTGTGCTACCACACGGAGCGTTGGCCGTTCGTTCCCCGGGCTGAACACCTTGCTCGGCGAACACATCCTTATAAGGAAAAGGCTTGTGACGCGACGACAGCACTGTCATACCGCCATCTATCGGAGGCCATGAGATCTGTGTTGGTCTTTTCAATAGCTGCCTCTTTACTGCCTCTACGACACCCACGATGAAGTTGGGTCGTGTATTCTCTTAGGCACCACAAGACAACTTTGTCGCTAGCTTTCCACTACCTTACACGAATTAAAAACAAATTCTTATTTATCTAAATTACAAGTAATTCTATATAACTAACAGATCATACATTGGAACTCACCCACCAAATATAACATCAGGATACGGGACGCTGATTACTTCAAGAATATTCACCAATCCTATGTGAACTTTGATGGTAACCTGCTAAAAGAAAAGCTGCACAGGTGTTCGCATACAGAATCAGTAACTTATAAGGTAATTTTAAAATAAACTAAATTCTACCTATCTGCTTCGCTGGGCCTAAACATTTTAATTCGTAAGTTATTGAACTGAGATATGGTTGAAGATTAGCCAAATTACGAGTACCTTAAGCATGCATGCATAGATATATAGATATGGAAGAAAAAGAGAGGTTTTTTTTATAGGAGAGGGGTCAAACGAGCATGCGGCTCACCTGATGGTAAGTGACTACCGCCGCCCATGAACAAATGCAACACCAGGGTAATCAGGGAAATTGCAGACGTTACCGGCCTTTTAAAAAGGAGGTATGTCAGGTTCATATCATATGGAGTATCCGCATCCATAATCTCTGCCTACCCTTCTGGGTGACAAGCGTGAGGCTTTAAGTATTATTATTAAGTATCGATCCTATCGCCATAAAATTTACCAAGATTATCTTTTTATTTGTGTAATTAGTCAGAAATCTCTATACATAAATCCAAGAATTAGACTCACGAGGATGGTGTTGCAGGCACATTTATAATAATATATTATGTTATCTATACAAATAAATAAAATTGAAATCTGTTTGTAATGTCAAAATAACAGCTTTTTACTAAATACATATGAAAGTAAATAAGGTACTTATAAAAAAAAATTTAAAATGTTTGTCTGTCTGTCTGTTTGTTCCGGCTAATCTCCGAAACAGCTGGACTGAGATGTTAACGGGACTTTCAATGGTATATGAATATATAAAATAAAATAATTTTGTTGAATAGAAATAATAAGCATACTTATTGCAAGTATTAACTCTTACCACTGGTTCGGAAAACAACTATGTCCAGGGAAGAACCAGCGAGAAACCAAACGGAAAAACGCGCTCTTCACTATAGGATATAATGTAATATATATTATATCTCGATATATAAATTAATATCGCTCACCGTACTTTTTAATGGAACCGTTTACACTGAGATGTACATCTCATACTATAAATATGTTTTCGATCGACCGAGCGATATTTTCATATTATATTTCGCCTCCTGTGCCCCGCACACTGTTCCGCGCCGCTACTAACGTCCTCAAGTTCGTGTCTGTCATTACCCGAATGAACTTTTGCGTAGTGCCATTTGTAGTGTCATTTGTATTCGTAACTTTTCTTAATAGAATTCGTTAAAAGGTCTAAATTAACCATATTGCTCTTTAAACTTTATATCGACGATCCCTGTTTTTTACTTAAAAGTAACACACATAAACCGAATTCTGCATCATCTCCCTCTGATGAACTGTCGAGGCTATCAAACAAAACAATATCCATTTTGCTTGTAAACGACGAGTGCGGTGTAAATGTAATCCAATGACGAACGCACACACAAAAAAAAAGATATATCTCACAGTGTGAAAGTCAATCGCGGGATATAATTTATATCTCGGGATATAATATATACTATATCCGATAGTGAAAAGCGAGCTAAATGTTATGGGATTCTCTTACGCCGTTATCACACAGCAAGCAGTGTATTTTTTTATAGATTAAAAGTGACAAACGAACACACAGTCCAACTGATAGTAAGTGAATGTTGTAGCTCATAGACACCTACATCCATCCTCAATTACGAATCAAATGCAGATGCGTTGTCACCCCTGAGGACTGAGATCGAATGCCTCGTAAACAGTAAAAACGAGTTCTCTACACTCACCATACAAAACACAGCAGTATTAAGCTGCTATTCTACGCTGGTATTCCGTGGGAGCGTGGTCCTTCCCCAGTTCCAGAGCAATTTGTGCTACAACCACAATATAGCTGCAGTATGACTCTACCACGTAAACAAACACATGTTTCATACTTGCTTGTATTCCAGATAAACCATTCGGACTTATGCCTAAGTTTCCGCGCGGCGCAGCGTGTTAAACTTCGGACACATTTATACTATATGGAGTATACGTACACGGATATAGACAATTTTGACGTCACACTCGTCTTACAGTTGTCCATGGACCGCCTGCAGTTTCTCGAGAGATTAGTTAAGTACTGGGAAGGTGAGTAAAAAGATATTTTGTCCTGTCCATACAATTACAATAAAGGTGTCTTTAAAGTGCTTTTGTCTCGCTCAGCCAGTTTTAACATCTTTAGCTCCATCAATATTTAACATCAACTGGGATCGTAGTCAAACACTAGCTTATAATTGGTATAGAACGGTTGGAAACCACGTGTTACCTTGTTCTAGGTCCTTTAAGTGCTGCCATCTATCTGTCGGACTGTGAAGTGACGAAATTCGAGAGTTTTATCCGCGATTGGTCGGACACACTCAGCACCAGACGAAACATAGGTTACCATTTAGTTTTCAAACATGATGGGGTAAGACATGAGATTGATTTTAATTAAGGACCATTGTCAATATTAACCTCACACAGATTTGTAATAATATTAGACAAAGATATATTAAGACAAATATTTGTATTAACTAAATGATGTAGGTACTTGGATAGATAAAATGGGTCACTACCACACGTAGAACTCATTTTCCAAATACGTTCCTTGTTTTTCGTAAAAGTGATCATATAAGTTGTCATATGCCAATATATAATGCCAATCGTACCATGTGTTAACGGCGGAAGTAAATCAATTACTCCAAATCATTCCAAGGGCACACTGTAGCCACTCGTGGTTTGTGTACGTATGACTGCGTACTGACTACTTTTACTACGCCATTTAATACAAATTAAAAACTAAAATAAGTTACACGCATGCATGCCGCTCCGTTTAGAGCAAATATAATTAAAAATTATAAATTTTGTACAACCGACTTCAATATAAATTATTAAGAATAACTCAAAAACTATTGATCAGACCTTGATCAAATTTATATAGGACCACATGAAGAGCACCGGCTTTCAAATAAAAGAAGAATCATCGCAATCGGTTCATGCAGAAAAAGTTATGAGATATATATATACACATAAAAAAGAACATACAGTTCTGAGGTAACAAACATAATAAATGCAGTCGAGCTGAGAACCTCCTCCTTTTTTGAAGTCTGTTGAAAATAATCTATCATAGCCAATAATATAGCTACATACAGTATGGCTCTACCACACTAGTGATTGTGGTGTGACGTGACCATCCATAGTCATAGCTGTTATAAAAATATCAAATGTTTTAAAACCTATCTTCCAGGTACACTATCCAGTGAACTATCTCCGGAACGTTGCGCTTGAAAATGTAAACACGCCCTACGTTTTCTTAATGGATGTTGACTTTGTACCGATGGCGGGACTTTACGATCACCTGCGAAACGCAATCAAGCTAATCAACCCTTACGCTCAGAAAAAGGTACATTTGTAATTTAAATATTGAGCTTATTTTCCCGCCTTTATGTGTTCTTTTTTGTGGCAGTGTTCGATTTTTGCCCTTTCTGACCACTTCTGCAGGGCTAGCATGGGCAGGAGATAATTTTATCCCCGGAGAAAGGAGTAAATGTTTATCCTCTCGCTTAGTTTTATCCACCCTTCGAGCATGGACACACCGGTGGATATAATATTCACTGTAGATAAAATGGGAGATAGACTTAGATAGATTTTTTGTATGAATATAAACTTAAACGCATGTCTAATGAACAAGGATAGAATTTTCCCTTTCAAATATCGAAAAAGCATATTTTTTTATCTTTCATTTGGCTGCATGCTACGGACGGGAGATATATGTCTACTCGTTATGTCAAACGGGGATATACTTCTCCCCGTTGCCATGCTTTGGAATAGGGACAAGATAATGTTATCTCTTGTCAGTGGATATAATCGGGGGATAAAAATTTTATCCCCAACCCATGCTAGCCGTGCTGGACATGAGCCTCGTCAATTTTAGAAAGAAATTGATTTAATTTTACCGTAAGAATTGTCGATCTTAATATAATAGTTCCCGCAAGTATGATGCTGCTCTCTGTGACCAGTCTCTGGGTATTACACATGGTATAATGACATCTATTTCAATATTGCTGTCAAGCTGCTTCTTCTTCTTCTTAATAACTGGCTTTACGGCTCTGGGATCTAGCCCCCTCTGAGCCTGAAGTTACAATATATTATAATAATTATCCTTCATAGTATACTGCTTCACAATATGTTGATGCGTCACATTGTGCAGCCCTTGGGAGATTTTGACGGCAACTTGAGCCAGCAGACAGCTGACGGTTGGCGATGGTATCTCAAGGCGCCTAAGCAGACAGACACCTTATTTTGAGAATCACATCACCATCAGAGCACTTGTTTCGCAGTTTCCACTAATAGTTCACATGCGCCGACACTTAATACACAAAATCGCACCACTTTTACATATCAAAGTCCACTTCAAACCATTATTTAAACAATAATACAGGAGCAGCAAACCGACGCCGGTCAAGTTCCCGCCAAAACTCTGTCAAGCTACAACGCAGCATAATTACAGACTAATTAAAAACCAGTATAATTATAGACTGTGTTATCGTATTATCTTAATGTTTAAAGGAGTTACCGATCTATGACTTTCTTTGTTTCAATTTTTGTTTGTCACTTTAATATTTACAAAAACTAATACATATAGTTTTTGTGACTTTGACTCCTCCTTGTCTCTATTTTTCTCATAGCTGATCGTACTTCTCTCTATCTCTTTCTATTTTTCTCTTTCTCTCTCTCCCTCACTTTTTCTTTATCTATATTTTATTTACTTTTACCTCTATTGAGAGACAAGTCTTATAAATCTTATTATCTCTATTTTGCTTTCCATCTTCCTCTTGTAGTCTATTTCACATTTACTATTCTTTGTTTATTTTCCGCATCTTTCCTTCTCACATTTGTTTTTTGATCATGGTGGTAGAACTCCATTTATGCCTTTGAGTCCGATGCATAGGTACCACGCTCTGACTATTTTAATGTCCGGTGGTAGGGGGGGGGGGGGGGGGAATATGTACTATAATTATAGGCTGTGAGGCTTTTCATCCTAAGTAGTATTGACTTACCATCAAGTGGACTTTAAATTCGTTTGTCACTTCAGTTTTATAAAAAAACTTTCATGAGTAAAGTCTTTATATTATTTCGTTTTAAATTAAAAAACCACGCGTAGCTACATTATACACAGCGTAAAACACCACTTAAATGCTGCTGTATTTCGTATATAGAAAACCAAAGATCCTTTTACTGGTAAAACATTCTATCTTATTTATACTCCTCAGGAGTGACGCGTGTACATTTTGACTCATAATCGAGTATAGATGTAGCTGTCTATGAGCCACAGCATCCAATTACCGTGGTAGACTGTGTGCTCGTTCGTCACCGTTAGTCAATAAAAAGAAACCGGTTATAGTGTTTGGTGGTAGCGGCGTTTGAGACGCAGCGCTACAGGGCTTCGCCCCCGCGGAGCAAGGCGTCGCTGCGCGCGCGGCTGGCGGCCGACGTGGCGCCCTTCAGGGCTCGCGAGTGGCCGCGCGGACACCGCGCCACTAACTACACCAAATGGCTCACCGCAACGGCTCCGTATGAGGTCAGTGTTACACTTTGCATTTTCTATCGCATTTTCAACGGGGAGTGCTCTGACAAATTGTTCGGATTAATTCCAGCCGCCAAATTTCACCAACGCACATTGCAAACAAACTCACGATACCATCCACACCATCTGAATTCTTAGCGGTCCACCACTGTGTGTTTTACTAGGTTTAGTTTAGTTTTCTTCCTTGCACAATTTCCACGTGGAATCGCCTACCATCAACGATTTTTCCGATACGACTTAGAGACCTTCAAGAAAAGAGATTACTATTTAAGAAGCTGCAAACCGCTCTGCGATTCCACTGGTATAGCAGTTGTTCATAGGCGGTGGTAGTAAATTCAGGTGAGCTGCATGCCATTTGCCATTATATAAAAATTTATAGTAAAACTTTGTGCTTATTTTCTTTTGTATTGTGTTCTTTGTACGTGGTAGAGTTATGCTGCGGCTATATTACAGTTGTAGCACAAATGGGTGGGCTCGATCGGGATGGACCTCACTCCCACAGAATACCAGCATAAAATATGCTGTTACATATGGTGAATGTTGAGAATTCATCTTAGTAGTCAGGATTGACAATGCATCTGCATTTTATTTTTAATCGAGAATAGATGTAGATGTCGATGGCCGCGGCAACCACTTCCCATCAGGTGGACCGAGTGTCTGTTTGTCACCATTATTCAATAAAAAAAAAAGCTTGCTCCCCGCTCAGCTTTGTAAAACAAACACAGCAGTGGGCTGTAACTTCATGATCATCACTACAAAATTTTGTAGCAAAGTCAGGAGATTTTATAATATTAAAACGCAATTTCGTTAATTGATGGAGATTTTGAAGATTTCTAGAACGTATTGTCGGAATTCGTGAAACTATTTCCATTAACAGATGCGATACTACCGCACGTTACATTATACGAAATTACGCATCGTAGGTTTTTCTGTTGTTTTAAGAAATATACATTTATCACGTTACTTTAGCATGGATCAACAGTTGTTATATGTTAAGAAATTGTGCAGCGTTTTTATTTAACAAAAACACTTTAACTATAGAAACAATAAAACTGTTTATAATCGATACTCAACTCGTTTGGACAGCGTTTGGGAAATTACGGCACATCTTCTCGTCAGCTATACCTCAAAACTTGAAAACGAAACTGTACAACCAGTGCGTGTTGCCAGTGATGACCTATGGAACTGAGACGTGGTCCTTCACTGCTGGCCGGATGAGGAAGCTCAAGGTCGCTCAGCGAGCTATGGAGAGGGCTATGCTCGGAGTTTCTCTGCGTGATAAACTTAGAAATGAGGATATCCGCAGTAGAACCAGTGTGACTAACATAACCCAACGGAGTAGTAAGCTGAGGTGGCAATGGGCCGGCCATATAGCTCGAAGAACCGACAACTGATGGGGAAAAAAGGTTCTCGAGTGGCGGCCTCGTACCGGCGGACGAAGTGTAGGGCGTCCCCCCACTAGATGGAGTGACGACCTGGTAAGATATGACCGTGCTTTGTGGCATTCTTTGGGGGAGGCCTATGTTCAGCAGTGGACTTGTGAAGGGCTGTGTGATGATAATGATGATGATAATCGATGCGGATACATTTACACAATTAGCCGAATTGGAACGTAAAAACGAAGCCTACCACGATTTCTATCTGAATTTACAATCGTACTGTGGATGATGATCTGCACTAATTTTTTTTACTTTTAAACTTAGGTTACCGTATCAAACAAGCTTTATTGGAAATTTAAAAGTTAAAAAAAAATTCGAAAAACTCCATTGATACAGCGTGAATTCTCATTCTGATTACTTCTTACTTCAGCCTTTGTAGTTCAATACTAGACATAAGCTTTTCCAGGGCTGCACCAGCTGGCTTGCTCTTGGAGGATGAGTATGGTTGGGTAGACAAGTTAGGTGGCGTACATATCGATTCCCTCACGCTGGAAATACGCTCAACCGTAATCTAGGAGATCTTGATTTGATTTCAGTCCTTTTAGATTGATTTTTTCGGCAAGGCATCTCGTTTAATTAAAAATAATTTTGTTTTTAGGTGGAATGGCAACCTGATTACGAACCGTATCTCGTCGTGCATCGGAGCGTGCCTAAATACGACACGAGGTTCTCTGGTTTCGGTTGGAATAAGGTATCCTAAATTTGTATAAAACTTGGTCCTATTAAATAAAAAGTAACAAAAGTAAAACCTATAATATGTTTATAAATAACTACATGATATAATCAGATTTTTCGTTTTAAGTTAAATTAGATTTTCAGTAAGTATTTAAAATCTAATTTAACTTAAAGCGAAAAATCTTTTTAAACGTTTAAACGTAATACTTAAACTTGATACGTGGTAGAACCATGCTGCAGCTATATTAATAGTATAGTAGTAGTGCGAATGGGTCGGCTCGACTGGGGAAGGACCACGCTCTCACAGAATACCAGCGTAAAATAGCAGCTTAATGCTACTGCGTTTCGTATGGTGAATGTCTCTACATTACATACATCTCTAACCGGAGACCCTTTTTACTGGAAAAGAGGCATTCCATCTTAGTCCTAACGGCTGACAACGCATCTGCATTTTAATTCGCATACGAAGATAGATGTAGATGTCTATGGGCCGCAGCACTCACTTACCATCAGGTGGACTGTGTGTTCGTAAGTCACCCTTATTCTATAAAAAAAATATACAAATAAAATACATAACAATTTCAGTAGTTATATATACTATGACATAAACAAACTATATCTGAAAAGTAATAAAAACTCATAAATTGACTCATTTTATCAAATAATAATATGGAAACAACGGCATTAGTACCGTAGACCTATCTACTAGATGTCCAAAAAGAGTATCACGTATTTGTTTTAGCGCTGAAGTTGACTCGGAGTTGCGGAGGGGCGCGGGGAGGGGATCGTAAAGTCCGCCATTTTGTGAAGTTTTAGTCGCAATGGAGCTGTACCCGGGGACGTATTGCGTTTTTCGCGTACGAGCGTACTATTGTAACGGTGATTCAACAGTGACTGCTCAACTTTTGTATTGTGCGGAATTTGTACACGCAATGCACCAAGTGACGATAGCATTGAAATGGATCCGGATGTTCGAAAATGCAGGTGCGACGGTAAAAATTCAAAACTCTGGTCGCCCTCGTTCAGTTCGTCAAAATCCGACTCTCCATCCGAAAGCGACGGCAAGCATTGACCATCAATAATTAAAAATTAAAAATTTTGTACAGCCGACTTCAATATGAGTTATTAAGAATAACTCAAAAACTATTGGTCTGACCTTGATCAAATTCATATGGGACCACACGAGAAGTACCAGCTTTCAAATAAAAAAAGAATCATCCAAATCGGTTCACCCAGTAAAAAGTTATGAGGTAACACACATAAAAAAAACATACAGTCGAATTGACCGAGTACCGTCTCCTTTTTGGAAGTCGGCAGAAAAATCGTCTTTGCATTCGATTTTAAAGAAAGATTTGCATTTAAAAGCGTATGAAATTCAATTGGTTCAAGATTGAAAGATATGGCGGACTACGTAAATCGATTGAATTTTGTAAAGGAAATGCTGCGGCGATTCAAGAACTTTGAAAACATACTGTTTAGTGACGAAGCCAACGTTCACCTGAATGGGCATGTAAATAAGCAGAATTGACGATACTGGGCAGAGGAGAATCCAAGACGAAAGCATAAACGACCCCTGCACAGCCCAATTGTCGTAGTGTGGGTCGCTATGTCTGCTAAAGGCATTAGCGGCCCTTATTTTCATTAAGATCGACGAGACCGACCGCTCAATGTGAATAGTGACTGTTAGTGCGATATGCTGCGAAACTTTTTGAGCCTAGAATTGTAGGAGTTTCAAGGTTTCAACTCAAGAACACGGTTTCAACAAGACGGGGCCATTTGCCATATATCTAAATTATTCTCTAAATTATTCTCGCCAAACGCCCAACGTAAACTATTTATAGATTGCCCCACTCGACCGCTCACAAAAACATCTTAGAACAATAGAAATTTGTATGCAGTGTAGTTCGCTTAAGGCCGGCCACAAATATACGGAATTCCGTTTCGATATTCCGATTCGGAGTCCCGAACGCAGCAAGTCCATATAAAATCTATGACTCGCCATAGATTTTATATGGATTAGGTGGAATGGCAACCTGATTACGAACCGTATCTCGTCGTGCATCGGAGCGTGCCTAAATACGACACGAGGTTCTCTGGTTTCGGTTGGAATAAGGTATCCTAAATTGTTAAAATTGTTAAAAAAAATAAAAAGTAACAAAAGTAAAACCTATAATATGTTTATAAATAACTACATGATATAATCAGATTTTTCGTTTTAAGTTAAATTAGATTTTCAGTAAGTATTTAAAATCTAATTTAACTTAAAGCGAAAAATCTTTTTAAACGTTTAAACGTAATACTTAAACTTGATACGTGGTAGAGCCATGCTGCAGCTATATTAATAGTATAGTAGTAGTGCGAATGGGTCGGCTAGACTGGGGAAGGACCACGCTCTCACAGAATACCAGCATAAAATAGCAGCTTAATGCTACTGCGTTTCGTATGGTGAATGTCTCTACATTACATACATCTCTAACCGGAGACCCTTTTTACTGGAAAAGAGGCATTCCATCTTAGTCCTTACGGCTGACAACGCATCTGCATTTTAATTCGCATACGAAGATAGATGTAGATGTCTATGGGCCGCAGCACTCACTTACCATCAGGTGGACTGTGTGTTCGTAAGTCACCCTTATTCTATAAAAAAAATATACAAATAAAATACATAACAATTTCAGTAGTTATATATACTATGACATAAACAAACTATATCTGAAAAGTAATAAAAACTCATAAATTGACTCATTTTATCAAATAATAATATGGAAACAACGGCATTAGTACCGTAGACCTATCTACTAGATGTCCAAAAAGAGTATCACGTATTTGTTTTAGCGCTGAAGTTGACTCGGAGTTGCGGAGGGGCGCGGGGAGGGGATCGTAAAGTCCGCCATTTTGTAAAGTTTTAGTCGCAATGGAGCTGTACCCGGGGACGTATTGCGTTTTTCGCGTACGAGCGTACTATTGTAACGGTGATTCAACAGTGACTGCTCAACTTTTGTATTGTGCGGAATTTGTACACGCAATGCACCAAGTGACGATAGCATTGAAATGGATCCGGATGTTCGAAAATGCAGGTGCGACGGTAAAAATTCAAAACTCTGGTCGCCCTCGTTCAGTTCGTCAAAATCCGACTCTCCATCCGAAAGCGACGGCAAGCATTGACCATCAATAATTAAAAATTAAAAATTTTGTACAGCCGACTTCAATATGAGTTATTAAGAATAACTCAAAAACTATTGGTCTGACCTTGATCAAATTCATATGGGACCACACGAGAAGTACCAGCTTTCAAATAAAAAAAGAATCATCCAAATCGGTTCACCCAGTAAAAAGTTATGAGGTAACACACATAAAAAAAACATACAGTCGAATTGACCGAGTACCGTCTCCTTTTTGGAAGTCGGCAGAAAAATCGTCTTTGCATTCGATTTTAAAGAAAGATTTGCATTTAAAAGCGTATGAAATTCAATTGGTTCAAGATTGAAAGATATGGCGGACTACGTAAATCGATTGAATTTTGTAAAGGAAATGCTGCGGCGATTCAAGAACTTTGAAAACATACTGTTTAGTGACGAAGCCAACGTTCACCTGAATGGGCATGTAAATAAGCAGAATTGACGATACTGGGCAGAGGAGAATCCAAGACGAAAGCATAAACGACCCCTGCACAGCCCAATTGTCGTAGTGTGGGTCGCTATGTCTGCTAAAGGCATTAGCGGCCCTTATTTTCATTAAGATCGACGAGACCGACCGCTCAATGTGAATAGTGACTGTTAGTGCGATATGCTGCGAAACTTTTTGAGCCTAGAATTGTAGGAGTTTCAAGGTTTCAACTCAAGAACACGGTTTCAACAAGACGGGGCCATTTGCCATATATCTAAATTATTCTCTAAATTATTCTCGCCAAACGCCCAACGTAAACTATTTATAGATTGCCCCACTCGACCGCTCACAAAAACATCTTAGAACAATAGAAATTTGTATGCAGTGTAGTTCGCTTAAGGCCGGCCACAAATATACGGAATTCCGTTTCGATATTCCGATTCGGAGTCCCGAACGCAGCAAGTCCATATAAAATCTATGACTCGCCATAGATTTTATATGGATTAGGTGGAATGGCAACCTGATTACGAACCGTATCTCGTCGTGCATCGGAGCGTGCCTAAATACGACACGAGGTTCTCTGGTTTCGGTTGGAATAAGGTATCCTAAATTTGTATAAAACTTGGTCCTATTAAATAAAAAGTAACAAAAGTAAAACCTATAATATGTTTATAAATAACTACATGATATAATCAGATTTTTCGTTTTAAGTTAAATTAGATTTTCAGTAAGTATTTAAAATCTAATTTAACTTAAAGCGAAAAATCTTTTTAAACGTTTAAACGTAATACTTAAACTTGATACGTGGTAGAACCATGCTGCAGCTATATTAATAGTATAGTAGTAGTGCGAATGGGTCGGCTCGACTGGGGAAGGACCACGCTCTCACAGAATACCAGCATAAAATAGCAGCTTAATGCTACTGCGTTTCGTATGGTGAATGTCTCTACATTACATACATCTCTAACCGGAGACCCTTTTTACTGGAAAAGAGGCATTCCATCTTAGTCCTTACGGCTGACAACGCATCTGCATTTTAATTCGCATACGAAGATAGATGTAGATGTCTATGGGCCGCAGCACTCACTTACCATCAGGTGGACTGTGTGTTCGTAAGTCACCCTTATTCTATAAAAAAAATATACAAATAAAATACATAACAATTTCAGTAGTTATATATACTATGACATAAACAAACTATATCTGAAAAGTAATAAAAACTCATAAATTGACTCATTTTATCAAATAATAATATGGAAACAACGGCATTAGTACCGTAGACCTATCTACTAGATGTCCAAAAAGAGTATCACGTATTTGTTTTAGCGCTGAAGTTGACTCGGAGTTGCGGAGGGGCGCGGGGAGGGGATCGTAAAGTCCGCCATTTTGTGAAGTTTTAGTCGCAATGGA